AAATTACAGCTGGCTGCTTCCACTTCAACCTATTTATACTCACTAACTTATCAGAAAGAATAACGGTGACAAATATTACTTCGACTTCAGGTCAAAAACAATCTGCACAGATCTTTTTCCCTTCAGTCTTCACACTGAAATCTCTGGATGTGATGACACCAATGAGAGTACACTGTAAATATTTACCAGCTGAAGCTCTTGTAGAATGTAAGGCAGGGGTCAAACAGATCTAACTGCAACATGCAGCGCTGGATTATCAGATGCTTGGAGGCAAAAATTTTCAGGTTTTAAGACTCAACCCAGAAAAACTGAAAACATTTCCTGGACTGGGATTTTAAATAAACAAATCATTGACATCAGAATAATAACTTCTGTGTTGTTTAAAGTTGCAGCTACCACTGTCAAAAATATTACACAATAACCCAACAAGAGCTATTTGACGAGTATGCTCACTTTGCATTTCCATTCAAATATTTTCAATATCAACACAATAAAACTAAAATGTTAGTATATTTAACTATTTTCCCTGTTCATTTCATTTAACTGTAATTTAAGGCTGAACATATCTTGAAAAATCAAGGAATGTCACAATAACTCAAACTAAACCAATTTCTCTGTTTATAAAATCATGATTAAACTGCAAATACGTTAGATGACATTTTTGTTTTGTCTCACACTAAAGGCAAAATCAAAACCTCTGAAGTAATTATTATTCATCTTTTACAAATATAAAACATAAATCAGGGTTATTAACCTTTTTGACCTCGGGGCCCAATTTGTTGAACGTAAAGTGACACAAGGCCCAATCAGACATTACCAATGTACCGATCAAAATGATGTTTATTCTAAATCTTGTTTTAATTTTTATTGTATTTACATCATCATTTTACAACTAAACTAACATAACTAAATTAAATACACTTACAGTTTAAAAGTAAAACTCCTGTTAAATAATCACAAGACATGATTATGACAAACAATTTTTATATTGTAACCTGCCCAAAACAATTATTTGAACAAGGTCAGTCAACAGACCACTCAGGCTTATCAGCACAATATATATATATA